TGCACATTCTGGTACGGTTGGTGAATATTGCAGTGGTTTTGAATAGGTCTACCAACTTCTGGTCAAATGCTCTTCTGTCGTCAAAGCCTTGTTAGATAGAAGTCCAATGCTCTATATAACAGTAGCGGGGGGCGTTCACCGATCGTGTTACGAGGCATTACTCGTCCCGATCTGTATCCTTCCTCACTCCCGAAGCCCGCCAACAGCTGCACAGTGAATAGTGACGGTGGGCTAGACGGCGTGTTTCTGGCTTACAAGTCGTCATCAGTCAGTCCTACACTACCCCAGCCTTTGCGGCACCCGAGGGTCGAACCCGCGACCTGTTCGTCAGAGTTCCAGCTTCCTAGCCATTGAGCCACAGGCTCCTTATCCCGTCGGTTGCTATCGGATAAAATAACACTGGTATCGGGACGAGTGTGCCCTGTAACGCGATGGAAGAACACCGCTTTTCTATCGCAAGATAACTGTTGGTTGGTGCATCATTTGTATCTGGTGTTTTCTCAGCTGTCTTTAAACTATTTCAACCGCATACCCATTCGAGGGGAGGATTTGCCAAGTATTTGATTTGAGCGCCGGATTGGAAATGTTTGTTCTCTTTCTTACCGTCTCGTTGTTACAAGAATAAATGTATAAAACTCCTCTGGTAACCATGTTGGAAAAACAATTTAAACAGGTAAGTTAGCTCGAAGTGGTAGCTTTCTTCGTCAGAACAAGATTTTTCTCAATGAAACGGACTGTTGACAGAACTCCGCTTTTGAGAGATGGGCTCGGTGTTCTAATAGTGTTACCTGATTTCCGTATAAGTTTCTTTATGGTAAACGAATGTGTGTGTAATGTTCCGTCAGGCTTTCGCTGTACGAGAACATCCAGAAGCAGAATATATCGTCAACTTCTTTTTCTGGTGTAAATTTTGATTCACAAAATTGTTGGTTTGATGATATTTTTAAAATATTTTTTAAAGATAACAAATGGTTCATCTTAGAACTACATAATGTTAGTACCGTAAAATATATTTTTGTGTTGTCCTTTTAGCAAGAGAGCAAGACATAGGCGACCCCATAGAAATCCCTTAAGTTGTTGATGGTATTGCTGGACGAACGAAAAGTTTCTTTCTAACCAAAGTTCTAGGAGTTCAAGTCAGGCAGTTGCGGGAATATCCCTGTCATAGGACTGCGGGAGTTCGTTTGCTAAGTCTACCAGTCTCACCCAACCACCGGTTGTGGGCAGACCTGAACTTCGAACCCGGGTACTGTTGGTTTCGGAGCGTTAGTAGATTAAATTCTCCAAAGTTAGACCTAGTGGTCCGTTGTTCTATCGGTTCTTATCGGGTATATTAACAACGGTAGCGGCGAGACTGTACTGACACAATTCCGCGTGCAACGCCCAACCTCTCGTCACTCGCGATTGTTAGCACCTGCGTACGAGTGTCTGCCGGCTCCACCCCCGTTTGACCTTCAAGGCTGACTCACTCAGGACCTCATTGTGACGATCGCCGCGCTCTCACACTTCGAAGGCCGCCCCGTGCGGGCGGTCGTCCATTCGAAAGACTATCAACTTCCTTCAACCTATTTCCCATTACTTATGTACAGAATATACTATTACCCCCACCTGGTGTCTCACTTCTTCTCTTCGCACACGGAACCGGGTCTGAAGATCGCAGTGGCAAGGGTTTCTCTATTAACTTAAGCCAATACGATAAGACCACCGACTTTCGAGCTTAGACAGCTGTTAGAAGCGGAGCCAGCGCGGATTTTTTGACACTACGTCACGATATATGAACGCGTTCCGTATTATTTACTGCTATGTAAGGGTATCTTTCGGAGTCATGCATTAAAAACTAACAGTTGAGTCGCAGTCCTTTTATCTGGCAATCTCATTGTTATAAAAGCTGTCTTTGGTACAAGTAACAAGCCGTTCTTGGGGGTTTTAGTACCTTCCTGCTTGTTGTGCTATCCCAAGACTTCAAAAATCGAGCTATTTGGTGTACTTCAGTCTCCTCGTGATCGTGTGCTTTGATTGGTTGGTTTATCGACGCTTCAAAACGCATCGATTCCCAGCGTTTCTTTTCAAACTTATTGTCCTCAGCAGATTCTGAGACATGACAGCTCGACCGCTGTGGACGGCGATGTCCGCCGTATGCGCCACTTCAGAGAGGACGCATTATTTAGTTTATAGTCGACTTGTGCGGCATCTGCCACACTCTATCCTCCCTCACCTGGATTCGGTGTCATGACCAAATCAAGTAGATCGGAGGAGGGAGGGGGCACAGGTGGCCGGCGTAGTATGGACGTGTGCTTAGGCGTGCCACCCTTCCCCCACCGGGGTATTTTGGATGGGAGCCACATCCACAAAAACGTATGTTGTGCCCTGATTTAATCCCCGCCCCCGTTTGTTGAGCGCATCTTCCACATGGTCCGTTTGGGCGCAGAATCGTAATGCTCAAGAGGGCGGATTGCATGTCCTTCGATTCCAGCATATTACTGCGGCTACGCAAGAGGATCCACTCAGACAATAGTAATCATGCTGTTTTCTTTCTAAAAAATGTTAAAATTCTTCTTGTCTGCGGGAGTGAGTTTCTAGGACTGAGTGAATTACGATCTGGACGGTTAGGTAATTCGTCTCTTTTTCAGCAACAGATCGTTTTTCATGTGAGCACCCGCCAACCGGGAGGCCTTCAACCGAATCTCCCCCGATCGGGATATTGTGCTCGTTCGTGCGTGAAGTCCTAAGCAGTAGGTATTTCGCTAAGCCAGGACGGGGTGGACAATCGGCAAGATAGGGAGACTTTCCCAGAAAGGCGGGAAGTGGGAGAGCAACTGGGAATGCCTCTGATTCGGCCGCCCTTATTTGCTTACCAACCCAACATCTCCTGTCTTTATTGTCGTTTTTTAGAAATTGGACTTTCGTCACCGCTTGGCACCTAGGCTGTTAGTATGGTAAGTTACAACGTCAATTTATACTACTAAGTAC